CTTCACAATCCCCCCCTCCCGATTAGAGGGTAGATTACAAAATCGTTCACAGAGTCGAACACAGAGGCAACAATTTCGGTATGTATTTGAACCAGACCATAAAAAAACACAACATTGATGAGAGTACGTCTTTACCTCTGCCATACCCCTTAAGACCATATGCACAAGGGTACGGCAGAACTGCCTTCAGAAACTAAGCTTTGCATGTTTTTCCCAGGCGTATTAAGTCATCTCCTGGCCACTAGAGATACCGTTCTCTCCCAGCCTATATATGGCCATCTTGGAACACAGGTGTAGAGTGTCTATCCGCAGCGATGGTGTTGCCAGATAACATTATATGTGAAAGTGGGTTATCTTCTCGATGGAGCCGATTTGCTGTAGGGTTGGCCTGATGGCTATGGCTTTGTAGGGGGGGGGGGGGGGGGGGGGGGGGACAGAGAGACAGAGAGAACCCATAACCTAGCCTGTAACCAGCCTGGAAACTTGCCACAGTGCGTGATGCTATATCCAGGAACCACCTGATGTACATCGCGGGAAGGAATGTGTTGTCTCAGCCTGTGTAACCCAGCACTCTGTAGCCCAAACTGGGTCCTGGTGTGCACCTAGTGGTGGTTTATACTTTTTGACTTGAAGAACGTTTGGTCAAAGGATCTTTGATCAATGATCAACATTGATCAAAGATTCTTTGACCAAACGTTCTTCAAGTCTTTTGGGTAAAACAATCATAACGAGTGCACATTTTAACTGTGAGCACAACAGGTAAGAAGAGGTGGTATCAACGTATTTCTCACTTGCTCATTGGTGAACCAAGCCTTTGGTTCAGAGGAGTGGATCTGCTCTTCATTAGTCATGTTGCATTGCCGTTGTCCCCTCTGTCACACATTACAATACAACCGTAAATGTAAATCGGATTGTTTGCTTGCATGCCATGTAAAGTCAAATACAGCCTCCCATTCAGCATTTGGTGTGTATGTCTGTGTGTTTGTGTGATAATTTGTGTTGACATTGACACTGTGTGCTGATAGGAAGACCTGATGGAGACGGAGCTAGACAGAGAAGAAGTGCTGCAGCCACAGCCCAGAGAGCTTTCTGGGGAAAGTCTGCTCACCACAGAATACCTGGGAGTAAGAACACAAACACACACAAAGACACACACACATATATACACACACACCCATAAACTGAGATGAATATAGATACGGACACAAAGACAAACACATACACACTGGTGTCAGAGCAGATAAGCAGTTGTGAGGAAGTGAAATATGCATATATATGGATGTATGACAAACACACATTGATAACTTACAGGCTAGTAGGCATTGAATACATAGAGATTGGGTGTCATGAGACAGCACAGCCATCGTTTATTAACCATTACACCATGGCCCGGGTGAATACTCGATTCTGATTGGCTGGAGAGGTGTGCATTATTTTTCGATAACATGCACGGCCAGGACGCATGCAGCCTTATCACCAGTCTAAAAATGAATGCGCAAAAAGAAACGTTAGCAACTGTCAACTTGGACCGGACTCGGGGGGGGGGGGGGGGGGGGGGGGGGGGGGGCTACGTTTAGAAAGCTTCCCCGTTGCCATGTCATTACTAAGATCTTCTCTATTTACTGGAGTAATAAGGTAACGTTGCTAGCCTGGCTCCGCCCGCCTACGTACTTCCGCTCAATTTTCATTTCACTTCAGTACTAGGTCTGGCAGTGCTGTATGTTAGAACGATGTCTTTTCCCTCAAATGTGCCTTCCAATCAGCGAACAGGAGGCGTGGCCCCGCCTTCAAGTGGATTTCTCACTTGAAGGCGGGTGCTGTTGAAGTTTAAAACCTATTGGCTCTGCCCAGTGCCACTCTGGATCTGCCTTAACCAATCGCTAACGTTTGGTCGTGACGTATTTCATGCGCCAGAAACCACGTTGCGCGCAGTATACAAACGGCAGATGCAGTGAGCATTAGCATTAGCCTGGTTCCGCCCGCCTCCGTACTTCCGCTCAATAACTGAAATTCGCGCACAACCTCTACGTCACTGTTCTCAGGCCGCGCCTCCTGTTCGCTGATTGGAAGGCACATTTGAGGGAAAAGAAATCGTTCTAACATACAGCACCGCCAGACCTTAGTACTGAAGTGAAATGAAAATTGAGCGGAAGTACGTAGGCGGGCGGAGCCAGGCTATAACGTTGCCAGGTCGTTACTAAGATCTTCTCTATTTACTGGACAAGGAACATGTATTTACTTGTATCTGTAAATGCACATTATATTTACTGTTATGGGTATGAGCTCCCAACATGTACAACAAGGTAGTAATGGAGAACATCAAAAACCAAAACTCCTCAAGCTATTTAGGTCGACCACAAGCAAAACCCAGAATATAAACCCAGAAAATACAGACATTAGCACTAGTATTGGCTTGAACCCAAACATACGGGACTGAAGTCGTCGGAGAGATAGCATATGACCTACATAGACCTGGTAGACCTGGTAGCCGTTTTGGACGTGAGCGTGTACGTCTCCTTATCTCTATGTGCTCATGTTTCACTGTGTGTGTGTGTGTGTGTGTATGTGTGCGTGCTTTGCGTGCCCCCCTATCCTAGCACACAGCTTCTAGGTCAAAAGTGTCATGTCATGTCCTGCCCACCACCCAGAGTGCTTCATTCAGTGGGTCAAGTCCCGTTACCGTGTGTGTGTGTGTCTGGTGTTATCCAGATCATGACCAACATGACCAGGATGAAGAGGCGCTCCGCACCCCAGTATCAGCAGAGCGCCGATGAGCCTCTACAGCGGCCAGTGACCCCCAGCTCTCATCGCAACGGGACCCCCTTGTAGGTTAAACACACACACACCCTATATATATAGTGTATATCTTATCTGTATCTAGCCTCTAGTTCTGGAGTGATGGATTTACTGTGATCCTCAGCTGTGATAGTAAATCGGTTACGTTAGGTGAGATGGCCAATGGGACTACGAGATTAGTTTAAACGATAAGATAAGAGATCATGTTGCAGAAATAAGCCTTCTACTGACAATTTTATTTTTTCTGGTCATACGTACTAATTATCCAAAGCGCCTTGCAGTGAATTTAGATACATGTCATTAAGCAGCAGGTAGGAGTTGTGCAGCGTACTAAATGATGCCTCCAGGTTAGGCTCCGGACACTGGGGGATCAAACCCACTACACTATCCTGCCCTAAACCCAGTACTAAACCACTTCACTATCCTGCCCTGAACCCAGTACTAAACCACTTCACTATCCTGCCCTGAACCCAGTACTAAACCACTACACTATCCTGCACTAAACCCAGTACTAAACCACTACACTATCCTGCACTAAACCCAGTACTAAACCACTACACTATCCTGCACTAAACCCAGTACTAAACCACTACGCTATCCTGCACTAAACCCAGTACTAAACCACTACGCTATCCTGCACTAAACCCAGTACTAAACCACTACACTATCCTGCACTAAACCCAGTACTAAACCACTACGCTATCCTGCACTAAACCCAGTACTAAACCACTACACTATCCTGCACTAAACCCAGTACTAAACCACTACACTATCCTGCACTAAACCCAGTACTAAACCACTACACTATCCTGCACTAAACCCAGTACTAAACCACTACACTATCCTGCACTAAACCCAGTACTAAACCACTACACTATCCTGCACTAAACCCAGTACTAAACCACTACACTATCCTGCACTAAACCCAGTACTAAACCACTACACTATCCTGCACTAAACCCAGTACTAAACCACTACACTATCCTGCACTAAACCCAGTACTAAACCACTACACTATCCTGCACTAAACCCAGTACTAAACCACTACACTATTCTGACCCACTGCCCTACTTTAAGTTCACTTTAGAAAATATCCCCACAAAGAACTTGATGGTTTCTATTGAATGGGAGATAATTATCATGGAGCGGTCCATGAGTGCACTGGATCACCGTAAAATTTCAAACGAGACGGTAACAAAACACCGGCGAAGCCTTGTCTCTGGGCCAACCGAGCAGACCGGCCGACCAGGTGTCGGTAGACCTTCTGTCCGCTCCCATGTTACTGGCTAGCTGGGGTAGTGGCCCCTAATGAGGTCAGCTCATCCTGGCTCTGGAAAAAAAAGTATATATATATATATATATACTTTTTACCTGCCTGTCTCAAGTTTGGGGTTCCATTGTTTCAACCACAACTCCTCTCTGCTTATAGTAATTGGGGCTAAAATTCACGTCTGTAGTGGAGGCAGCCATTGATGCATGTCACTGCGACGCATTGCTGCGGTTCCTAATTAAACTACATTTCCCAGGATGTAGGTTGTAGGCCTTTCACACGGTCTTATTCGGTCAATGCTCTGTGTCCGTGGCAGAAGAGAAGCAGAGAACATGATAAGAGGTATGTCGACCAACTTGTGTTGACATATGGAGAAAAAAAAAGTGGAAAGTTCCTGGTTCACTTTGTGTGTGTGTCATTGTACTGATGACTCCTGCGTGTGTGTGTGTGTGTGTGTGTGTGTGTGTGTGTGTGTGTGTGTGTGTGTGTGTGTGTGTGTGTGTGTGTGTGTGTGTGTGTGTGTGTGTGTGTGTGTGTGTGTGTGTGTGTGTGCGCGTATATAGGGACTTCCGAGCCTGCAGTGAGGGAGCGGAGCTGGCTGTGCACAGACAGAGGAGCGAGGACAGTCCGTCTCCTTCTCGATACACCGAGCGCCCCCCCACACGCTCTGGGAGCAGACCCAGCACCTCAGACTCCCTGCATCACAGCATCGGTGCGTGAACTTCATGTTGTACACCTGTGCAAGTGTGCATGTGTATTGATGTGCATTGTGTGAGGGCTTTATTCATGTTCACGTGTGTGAATACTCCTAAATGTGTGATAATGTACGCACAAATAAATAAATATAGTCAATAGCACTCGGTGGTGGCAGATAGATGCAGCGTTTAACCTTTCAGAATAATATGATGCGCTAGTGTCTATTTCTTTATAGTCATTTAGGAGACAAAGTTGGGGTTTCGAACCCAGAACCTTTCGGCTAGGAGCCGAACACCATAACCACAAGACTATCCCTGACTATCTCACTGGTCATCGGTTTCCAATCTGATGACGTAGGAGGCCGATAAGTCAGCTGAACATCTGCCAGACCATTTCATTTCCGCCTGAAAATCACACAAAATATTTAATATTTAGTTTCTTTGATGTTGTGTCAAGATCCACTGTGGCAAGAAAGCCAAAACACATGGTCTCCAGAAACAGAAATATTGCTGGAAAATTGTAAAAAACTTGAGTTAAGGAGAATCTCTCTCTTCTGACCACAGATTCGGAGTGTGGTCGGTTGTCTCAGGACTTTGTGATGGACGGGCCGATCGAGGACAGAGATAGAGAAGGTTCCCAAAAAGAACAAAACGGACACTCTGCCCGGTAACTACTCCTTGTGTTCAAATGCTAATAAAATGATTTTCATCCATCTTTGTATTCATGTAATATTGCAACTCACTGCCGAGGAACTTAAGAGTTGAGCTTTCATGATGCAGGTCAATACTCTCAACTATCTAGATTATGTATTTCTTTCTAGGCATGTACCTATTCATTGAGTTTTGAGGATTTTGATGTACCCTTCTCATTTCAATCTGGGATGTGTGTGTGTGTGGCAGAGCAAACTCAAGGGGGTCGAAGGTCGAAGACAAGAATATATGTCAAGAGGAGCTCAATAATCGAAACGCCAGCCCAGGAACTGCACATATTGGCCACATTTTCCAGGCTGCGCAGGAAGGCCGCTTGCAGACACGCTGTGGCCCCTTTGTGGCGCACAGGAGCTAAGCTAACAATTAGCATGCCATGGGACATGTGACATTCCTGTGACGCGCAGACACATGAGCACTAAAATGAGAAAGAGGTTGAAGGTCTGTCACCATCTGGTCCGTTCTATGCCTCTACTTTCTTTTTGCAATTTCCCTTATCTCTTTTCTCGCTCTCTCTCTCCGGTTCTATTCCATAATACATGTCACGTAAGGGGTGTGTGAACGAGAGAGGGAGACAGGAAGACAGAGAGAAGCTGTGTGTGAGGTGATAGGCTGCTGCAGGGCTGTGCTAAGAGATGAAGCTGCATGAGTCTGCAGAGGATCTCTGGGGGGTGTGAGGGGGGCTCTGCTGTCTGGCGGTGTTGATGATTCCACATCGATCGGTGACTCGGCAGCACTGCCAACATGCGTTTAAACGACCTGTGGCCCACAAAGGGCCCCATTCACTACTAGAGCCTTGGTCCTCCTCCTCCTCCTCTGCTCCTTTTTTTCTCTATTTGTCCCCCCGACCCAAATCCCAGAGGAACTTGGCTCCTAACCCATCCCACTGCCACCACCCCATAACTCCGCCACACACACACACACATTAATACTCACACTCATACACACGCACACACACATACACACACACACACACACACACACCCCCACACACACATACACACACAAACACACATACACACACAGTAGTAAGCCTAAATGAAACCATGCTTTAATTAATCACCCACCAGCACCAGACGCCTTCCCAGAGGAACGTATGGCACCTTTACAACCAACCAGCAGCCTGACGCCAACTCAGGCAGCCTTGTCCTCCCGCCCCTTGGAGGAGTGACAAATAAAGATGATTAGGAAGAGTTGGGCTGAGGCCATGTTATTACGAAGTAATTGAGTATTCCCATTGGAAAGCTTTGATTTCAAGTTTGTTCCTAGTTTAGGGGTTTATGTAAGGATAGGTTAGGTGAGATTAGGCTTGGCTTGGTTGACTAAGCACACTGATCTCTAGTGTGATGCTCTGCTACACAGACGTTCAATTACACAGCCTCAGGCACCTGGGAGACCAGCCACGGTGCAACCGTGTGTGTGTGTGTGTCTGTGTGTGTGTGTGTGTGTGTGTGCGTGTGTGTGTTCGTTCTACTTGTAGGCTGCATTCAGAGTAACACTGGTGGGAACAGCATGCACAGTTCACTGTGCAATGTTACAAAAATGTCTGAAACGGTCACAAAAACATTTTCTCAAATTGTGTCGTTTGATTTAGATATTTAATTCTAGATACACATGAATGTCATCTATGTGAGATTTGAAAAGGTTGCATTGTCTTTCTGTTTTATTTCCGTCATGATTCCTATAAATATTTTACATCATCTATGCAGACCATTACTGGATACACCCTGCGTGTACTGTGGGGAATACTGGGTATCTGAAAAGTATTGATGAAACTTTCTTCCCTTGGAATTGTATAGCCGGTATTCAACCCAAATCCATGGATGCTATCACATGCTGAGGAGTGAGGCTGAATGTAAAAATAGGTTGTTGTGACAACAACAGCTGGTTGAAATTTGCTATGCCTATGGAGGACTGCCCACCAACCTATAGCATGGGTGTAGTTCGGCGTGGAAGAGCATTTGGCGCTCTGCACTCCAATCGATCGCTCTCACCGGAAATGTGCCGGAAACATGAGAGTATCTGTAATCAAACTCGGCCTTTTAGGAAACGACAGAAGGTTGTGAAGAGGAATCGGGTCACCAAGATGGCCTCAATATGGAATGGGTGGATTGTCCACCTCTTCCTCTTCTATTTTGAGGTGCCCTCTCGCAAGGCACTAGTACTTTAGCGGGCCTCGACGGTGAGACAGTAGGGGTCAGCAGTAGTCCGGAAACCATATACCACTTATTAATGCGCTAAACTGTGGCTTTGAATTAGCTTTCCTGTTCCCCTAGCAGCAACCACTCCTCCGGCTTCACAAGCCGACCCAAGATTCCCCGGACACCGGACCTTGAAGCGGGGGTCAGTCAGAGGAGCGCCCATCAGGGCCGGGGACCACAGCTGGCCCCCCAGTTCTCCCATTCGGACCCCCAGCCCAGCAGCCGGCCTGGGTCAGCCA